GCCCTTCAAGCCCCATCTGGTACCTATCCAGCATCTCTGGGGGATGTAAGATTTATCTATTATTTGTAAATTCTCTGATGAGCACCAGGGCTTTGTGAACATATTCTGAATCCTTAAATTTTCCCAGTGAAGTACTTTCACCAGGAAAGATTACTTGATTGACAATTTGTACTGTAAACTATATTACTCACTACTTCCCATTGGGTTTGTTTATCATATTTTATTCAACTACACAGAGAAAAACCAAGTTAAACTCTGCCACCACTCCTCACACTTCTACACACTTGCAGAGCATGTTTCTCATCAGTATACGTAAATGTGACACTACTGAGCCCTAAATAAGTAGAAAATAATGCATTTAATGCTCTGTTTGATTCACAGTGCAAAATATGAAACCTGCCTCGTTTGTTGCTATGTCACATACTGAGGACTGACAGGCAAGTTTTATTATTATTAACTATACTTTGTTGATACATACTGTTGATTTACTAGTGATTATGCCACAGACATAAAGATCCCTCCAGGGAGCAGCAGGGAGGTAGGTGTGTCTTCAGGAGCAGCTGTGCAGTTTAAGAGCTGCTTCTCTGTTAGCAGGGATGTTTCTGCTCCTTAGATGGAGGGAAGAATATTTGGGGTGAAACCATCCTTACTGGAAACGTACTGGATGTGTAGCTACTGTTCATCTGCTACAGGACCATACGGAAATGTTTTATCCCTGTTTCAGGTTTGAAAAAAACTGCCCATTCCAAAAACTCAAAAAACATCAGCAGAAAGAAAATGATTTCAATTAGCTTCAGATCAATCCTTAAAAGCTGATGCTGCCTAAGCAGGTTACTGACTTTAAGCTTGGATTTAAGTCTTACGCCTCCAGTGGGACTGAGAAGTTCATCATGTTTTGCCCTAGTGACCAAGTAATACTCTCCAAAGTGCCCACATGAATGTAGGTATTCTTATTTATAAGTCTGGAGCAAAAGAAAACAAAGTTATGTCTTTTGTAGCATTTTTGTGTTTTGCAGTGGGGCAGTTGTAATTGGAGATCTAGATTCTGGCAGCCCAGGTGGTACTGGACAGCATGTAGCCCCACAGGCAATCCTACCAAATTCAGGGTTATGACTGTGGGGGAACTCTCCTGTCTCTGAACTTGGTCCTCGCTTTTTTCTTGTCCTCGAGAAAAATATTAGATTGTTAATTAAAGCATATTTTAATCTCAAAGATTTTTGTCTTTCTTAGCAGATGAAATAACTTACGTCTTCTGACTAGTTTTGCAATACCTGCACCCATTCATTATTTCATATTCTGTTAAAATACAGTATATTCTTAAGAAAGGGAATACATGCAGACTCTTGAAGTATTTTTAATACTATTAACCTGATAATAACTGATCCGCATACACAGGGCTAGTTAGAAACTTTTTCACAAAAAATCTTCCATTAAAACAAATAATTGAAATAGAAACATTTTATTCAATTCTAACAGTTTCTACTAAACTTCTCAGATGAGCATTCAGAAGGAAACCTTGGATACAGACAGAAATTTTTGGTCAGAAACACAAAGGAAGGAAAAGGAAAAAAGATGCCCCAAACAAACAAAGTCAATTATTTGAGATGAGAGAAATGCACATTCAAATCCTCTCTCTTGATGCTTCAGAAAATAACTTGACCCAGAATATTTGCATCCCAAGTAACCATGACTCTATCTCCTCTTTCAGATTTTACAAAAACATCAAAAAAAAAGTCTTGTTTCCATCTCAGTGCAAAAAGGTTGGAAGTCTTGGCACCTCAAAAAGGTTGGAAAATCATTTCCCTCTCAGTTCATTCGAGAACTCTAAGTTCAGGTAAAATCAGGGTGAACAGGGGGTAGGCACTGCACTGGGATTTATGAAACGCCTGCCAAGAAACCTGCTTTTACCGCACACCAGAGAATAGCATTCCTTGCTAAAGAAGTCCTAATCAGCATCATGCATTTTTTAAAATTTGCTCAATGGCTTATATTCTTTAAATGACCCTTCCACCTACTCTGTTAATTACAAACTCCTGCATAAAACTGACTTTTCTATGGCCTCACTGTGAAAGCTGCAGATTAGGAGCTAACCTTGTTTCAGACCCATGCATAAATTACACAGCATGTGCTCCAAGTGCACATCGGTTTTAAAATGTGTTCTATAAAATGGCTAATACTTAGAGCTTGCAACTGACAACCAGTTAGAGATGGAGATGAAACACGTTGCAGGGATTTTGTTTAAGAGATACTAAGAGATTTAGGGAACAGTATTCATTTTAAAACTGTTCCTTGACTGCTGCAAGAACTTGAATGCTACATGCCAAAATTTCCAAAATTAACAGGTGCTTTTGTATACCCCACCTGGGGCATCTCAAGATGCTGATTTTCAAAAGTTCTTTAACAATTTTGGCAAGAAAGACAAGCAGACAAAATCACAAGCAATCCCAAAATACCTTGCCTTCAATTTCCTTCTGGATATTGACATTCAGGCCAAAATGTTTCTCACAGAAAAAGTTAACCACCACCAAAGTTTCTCATGCAACTAGAACTCATTTGGTGAAAGGATTCTCAGGTCCCCAAATGGAATTTCTGAACACATTTAAGAAACAAAGAGGGAGGGGGAAAATCTCGGAGAAGCTGGGACATTTTGTTCTGCACAGCAGAAAAGTTTGTTCTGCTTCAGCATCTGCTCCACTCCACTCACTAGTTCTCATGTAAAAGCTCAATGATACACTCTTGGAGAAACAACCTCAGTGGAACCAACAGAAAATTCAAAGTGAGGATGAAACTTCAGTACATGGTAGAGCAGTTGAGTGCTAAAATGGAAAAGAAATGAGCCCTTTATAACATGGTCCACATCCTAAAATCTGCCTCTACTTCCCCTCCCCTGAAATCTCAACTGTTCTAAAAGGTAATGCTATCATTTTACACAACTCTTATCCAATAACTTGCCCATATAATGCACTAGATTTTGTCTTTTAGTCTGCTGCTATTCCAAGACAATAACTTCCTATTGAAACTACATGGAGTGACTACATGATACTGCAGAATGTTCTTTGCTGTGGAGATTACAAAATTACGTTTATACTAATGGCAGTCCAACACAGATTCAGGAGTACCCATAATTTCAGCTTCTGGAATTGAAGACTTCTAAAACATATTTTCAGGATATTCTTCACAGTTTCACAAAATGAACCTTGAAGTTGATAAATTTTGCTCATTTTGATTGATTTTGCAACCTGAAGAGTAAGTCCTATCAGCAGAAATAAATCAGACTACAACTTCAAGATGAAAAACTATCCCCAAATCAGGCCTGACAACATCCACACTGTATTTTATTTACCAGCAAAGGGGAGATACAAAAACAACCCGAATTAGCTTTGTCATTCCTTTTAATCTGCACTCTCACCCCCTACAGAACTAGCGGCAAATTCTTTGCATTTCTTGTCTTGCTTTCAGATCTGATCCTTAAAATGATGTACAGCGAATGGCAGGTGGGAGGGAGTCCCTTTAAGCCACATCATGTGCTTTATGGAGAGAAGCCAAGCAGCTACTTAGGCAACCATTAGGTTGGGAAACAATCGCTTCCATCATTCCCAACACGTGTGTCAACATAATTCCATGCTTTCTTTGTCATGCAAAAAGTCTTGGCAAAGTGACCGGATACATCCAGAAAGTAGAAGCAAACAGCTTATTATGTTAGCCGGAGATCTCACAGCATCCTCCAGTGCTATAGAAGGAGACTTCCCATGTTTTGCAGTGTAGGAAAGGAAACTCATGCGCTGAAAGGGCCCAAGCCAAGCCTGACTTCAGAAGTGTATAAGGGAGATTATAGCTGGGATTCATGGAAGGGGATCCCTTGTCTGACAAGCACAAGAGGCTGTGTCAGGCAGTGTGATAACAGACATTCCAGAAGGTATGACACCTCACATAACTGCAGAGACTTCCCTCTCCCGTGTGCTCACTGGAAGCATTCCAGCCATACTAATATGGTTCTGCAAAGGGAAACTATTGCCAAATGGGACTATCGGCTTCTCTAACCCTTTATTGTTGTCATTTGTAACTTTGGACTTTGTTTTCCTTTAAAAGGAAGATTCAATGCATTTTACAACCATTAAACATCTTTGCTTCTTTCCAGCCATACTTGTAATTCTTACTAACAGCAAAAAGCTTGTGCACATTGGAATGGCTGTCAATACTACTATGATGGTTTACTTGCATGGTCAGGTACAGAAGGAAGGCCCTTCAGTCTGTCTTAAATGTGCTAAATACATCTTTGGTGCTCTAGCAGCTGAAAAGATGTAAATATCCCAGAGCATAAGTATTTATTTAAAGATAAGCAGCTGGGGTTTTCACTAACAATTTCTGCTGCATCTTTCAATTCAAGGTTCAGTGCTGTGGGAGGAAAGTCCTAATATTGCTGGGTATTTGCAAGCAATTTTCAGACCTTAGCTGCTTTGCCTCCATTCTGCCAGAGGTAACATACATTTTTTAACCCATTTTGCCTCTGGAATGCTAGCAAGTCCAACCTTGTTTTTAGTAATGTGCTCAGAAAACACAGCTCCTCAGCATTCTGTGTTCACAAAGGTCAACAACAGCTAAAAATGAGGATGGACAAGAATAGTAAAAGCTTCTCCTACATGTTGCTGATCTCTCTAATGAACGCCTAGAATTTCTACTGATTGTTGTGCTTAAGCCTGTATCAGTCACACTACATGCTTTGTTCCTTAAGATGCCAGATTTGTTGGCAGATCCTGTTACCACCCAAACACTCATGAATCAAGAGCTGAGAGTGCTGTCCAAATGGGGAAGTGTAGAAGAGCCCTTCCCCCAGAATTATCGTTGAAGCAGGAATAAGCATCTGGTTCTGACTTCGTCTTCTCCTTGCTCCACCACTCTGGGTAAATTTACAGTATGCAGCCCTCTGAAAATGTACATCAAATATCACAGAACAGTCATTAGCAAGTCAAATAAAACAAGAGAGTAAAATGTGAACATACCTGAATAAGAGAAATGTTGTGTAGGCTAAGTCTGAAGAGGTAGTTCCTGCGTGAACAAGCAGAAAAATTACAAACTGTTAGGCTACTGAAGAAGGATGGGAAAAGTTATAAAAGCAAGTAATAGTTTCTGGTCATTCATTTCTACAAACAACAAGACTTTCTTGTACTCCTCTCCACAGAATGCAAAATAGTTATATTCTCCTTGTTCATCAGTGTCTTAATGAACCTTGTAATAAAGCTTGGAGCAGGTCTGGAATAAAACATTCCAGAATCCATAACAAAGAACCACAATGATATCCCAGTGACACAGGGCCTATTTGCAAACCCTCAAAGGTCAGACTTTAGATGAAGTCCTGTATGGGCAGCACTCATGTTCTTCTCTGCATTCTGAGAAAACTGGAGTTGGACAGAAGCCAGCTGGAGCAAAGCTGACTCCTGTAGTACATTCCTTCCAAGCCTGTCCTTGTGGCTACTCCCATTGAGAACTTAATGGAAAAGTTGGAGAAGAGGACAGATACTTCTCTCTGCACAGAAAACCAGCAGGGAAATCAAGGCAGTGACTGTAGATACTCCCAATGCTCCTGTCATTGCATCTCCACAGGCAAAGCAAGGGAATTCCTGACAGAATTCACTGTAGCATGAGATACAACACATCCACTGAGCCCCTGTAACCCTTCTCCTGCGTGTTCATATCACATCACAAATAGGAGGGAACACACATTTGTATAAACATCTATGGATGAGCCTTAGTTAACAGGATTTATTTCACATTTTTGCTTGCTAAGACAATGCAGTTACCAGGAATAAACTGATTTATTAAGCCATACAGAATTGTTTGTGTACTTGAGGGTTTTGTCCATGGCTAACTTCATACCTTTCATCTCATCTGTCAGGGGTTTAAAGAGCTGCAATCCTTTTCCAACATCCCTGTCACCACAATCTCCCAGAGAAGACACTTTTATATTATACCAGGTGAACTATGTTTTTGGAGGTAGCTCTATTTAAATTGTAGAAAGCGCAGCTTTGATGATACAGCTTTATCTGCTGTAAAAGTGCCAGTATACAGACATTCTGATACCTGGTAAAAAAGCCAAGTTCCAGTCTTAGGTCACTGAAGTCAGAGAAATCAATGAAAAGCTTCTATACTGAGGAAAAGGTCCTAAAGACTCTTCCGGATAGTCTTGTTTAGGGTCTGTAGCCAGTAGCACACTCTGCCGAAGCAAAGAAAGTAATTCAAACTTCAACATACAAGACAGTCATATTGGGTGACAGTGCTGCAAGGCATGGGCAGTTTTTCCTTCTTCTGTTCTCTCACTTGTATATCACCTCACCTAAGTCATAATCAGAATTGCATGTATACTTTGACCCAATTTATGAATAAATCAAAAGGTCTCAACTGCTGCTGACTGTCAATAAAGGATGGGGACAAGTATGATGAGGAACTTAGGAAGTCAAACTCCTGGTACCGAAACTTCAGTTGCTGTAGCTCTGATTTGCACCATCCTATTCTGTTACCCAGAGAAGAATAAGACCCATTAGCAATATCTCAACAAAATGTATCAGTAATTATTATATGTCATGTAAGTATGCAGAGAAGTACACACACACACACACAACCTCTATCTTCTTCTCTCCTAGTCCTATCGCTGGAGATCCAGCAGTTCTACTGTACAATGTGTCAAAGGGCTGCATGCTTTCCCAAATAATTTGTTATTAGCTCTTCAGCACTGGTTACAGACTTAAATATTATGTCCTGCAGATGCAGGCACAGACCAGAGACACTAAGCTAACACACAGCTAAAATTTCAAAACAGATAAATTCTCAGCCAGTGGCTCATCTGACAGCTCCCTTTCAAAAGCACATGCTACTCTCACCAAAATATTAATGCAACTCCAGGACACAAGACATCATGGAATAAGCCTTCTCCTGGAGAAGTTAAGCATGCCACTGGTCTCCAATCTTACAACCTTATGAGAAAGGTCTCATAACTAGGGACTTGAAGTTGCTATCCTGTTGTTAAGCATGCTATTTAAATGCATTGATTTTAGAAGTCTTTTAATGCAGATTTGAGCTCCTTGTTTTAGTCGGGTAAAAAGCTGGACAGTTTGACTGAGTAATAAATTTTAATATTAGGGTGGTTTGTTTTTTTTTTCCCCTGATAGCACTGCAGAGCAAATTCAATTAAATATCCTTAATGGAACAGATGTATCCAAAGGACACAATTTTTGTTGCACACAGCCAAAACAGATGCAGACAGGAGTAGTGTCCATTTAAATAAAGCCAGTCTCTGTCCTCCTAGTGACTGCTGTGTAGCACCTGGACAAAGCCATTCCCGTGGCTGAGACCTAAACCAAGCAGGAATGTAGTACTAAAATGGGAAAAGCACAGTTATCTTCCAAAGGCATCATGCTAACCCCAGCTAAGTCTTACCTTGTGGTTTCTTACAGAAAATAGAGCTTCCCTACATTTTTTATCAGATTGCCTCACCTAATGTGTGCACAGCCACTGGCAATTCTTTTTTGTTTGATCCTTCTCATATCTCTTCAGGAGTAATATCAACACTGGCAGGCCGACCAGGCTATCAGAGGCACCTCCAGACTCCAGTTGACCTGCTCAGCTAGAACTGACTAATCCTTAATTAATAACATGCTCTTTTAGCCATACTTCTTCTGTAAAGCTATACCGAGAGTAAAAGGCCAAGGGGAAAGATCTGCTGAATAAGACAGTGCCATTTTTATGAACTGCATTTTAACTGCAATTTCAGCCCCAAAATGAGTAAGGTTTCTGAAGGATGGGCATGGTTTATTGTACCTTGAATTGCCCCATTTGTGACCTTTTTTCTGCTTGTGTTCGAAGTTATGTCTGTTTAATACCTTGCTGAAATATAATTTAAAGCAGCTGAAAGATTAAGAAATATGAGAGAACACTGAGATCTCTATGGGAATTGATGAGGTGCCTTCTTAATATTTTTCTTTTTTTTTTTTCCCTCCCATTTTGTCTTGTAAGTGAACATTGGCTAATTCCTTCCTCTCTTCAAGTAAACCCATTTGGAGTAGGCCAGAAGAGAGATCACCTGATGCAACCAGCTATTCTGATAACTCCTTCTCCTGCATAAAAAGCTGGTGCACAAACTTGGAGGGATAGGACTACCTTCTCACTCAGTTTTTGTCCTGAAAGCTATGAAACTTCACGGTATTAAAGTACAAGCTTTGTTTCATCCCAGAGCTGGCTGCATCTCCAGAGCAAGTGGCTATGCTCCTCTAAGTACTCTGGGACAAATGGTATTATACACATTAAAAGCTGCTTCAAACTGCTAATTATTATCACTACTTTCTTATTTATGAACATCAGCACATTTCTGAAAAAGCCCACGCTAAACAGTACTGCCCTGAAGTCTCAGCCAAGGCTGTGTTTTTGTTGTGTTTAGACACAAAGTGGGTTGATGGTGGTTCCTCTGGAGACTGAATCACAGCAGATGCCTATTTAAACAACCTGAGAGAGTGGTTCCTCTCTCTGTTACCTCTGATTGTGATTCCTCTCTCTGTCACCTCTGATTGCAGGGTGATATTATCCCCAGCTCAGATATAGGAAGCTGGCTGCTGTAAGACCATCATGCTCTATACAACCTGGTCTTGAAAAATTTGCCATCTACATATATACAGAAGAGTAAAAAAGAGACATTGTTCCCATTGAAATTTAAAGCACAGATTGACCAATTCAGTCGATGTCACAGAGTATATCTGCAGCACAACCAGGAGCTGAACTCCTGGTCCATTAATCTATGCCCTGGTTAGAAGAATAACTTGCCTCTGAAGTTGGGGCACAGCTTGTAAACCTCTGCTGAAGTGCCATTTACACTTGTGGAAATTGGGTAGATGTTGAATTACTTTCCCAGACTGGGCCCTCAGTGCTAGTCGGCATATGAACACAGCCAAGCTGCAGTATAAATCCTCTAAATGTAAGTATTTGTTAATTGGCTTCACAATTTGTATTTGGCTGGCTTGTAAAATGATTAAGTGCTCACCGTGCCTGGTACCACAAAGCATATGTACCAGAACAGCAGGAGAGCAGCTGAGATGTGTTTCGAGAAAGGATGGAAGAATATATCTACTTAAATCTGTTGGCCATGACATTCCCAAGTCAAAGCTGCTTATTAAGTGTTTATTTCATATAGCCAAGTGCACCTTGGATGAACTCTGTAACATGCTGCCCATGCACTTGTTCACACATTGCCTGGCCTTGAAACAATTTACAGGGAAGGCAAAGTACTTCGTCTATGATGCCACTGAGCAACAGAGCTACAAGACAAATTAAACCCTTCCAACAGGAAGCCACATAATAAGAGTGCTTGAATAATAGCAGAGACCATTCCTCTTAGGAGTTCCAAAATTATAAGGGTTGCAACATGCTTCAGTCACTTGTTCAGGCCTCTTTTTCACTGCCTCTTTTCAGGCAGTACATCTGTCAGCACTGTGCTGACTAAAAGGTGCTTCCTCCTAATTAAAAGAGAGCATGCTTTACAGTTCTGCTGTGGTGGATCAGGGGGGACATCCCTGCAGTCGGTGGACTGAATAGGTGTAAATGAAAGGCTACTGTAGTTTCAGAATATTTTTTCTATTTAAATGAGTAAGGTTCATTTATGTTTCACAACTCTGTCCCCCTGTACATATACCAAGCAAGTAAGATAACCTGTCTGTGCTTTAGGACAACCCCTGCTAGCAAATCAGGAGGCATGAGATTCCCAGTGCTGACCACCACCAGAACCTCTGAGGACTTTGACATACAGAGACCAACAATACACTGCTTTATCTCAGCTGGTCTGTATCACTACAAGACATGTACACCTGCTTATGTGTTGCTTCATGCCTGTACCTTTACAGTGAGAGTCAGAAGCTTGCCCCTCCCACATTACAGGGCAGGCTATCTTTGTACACAGACATTTACCCTGCAAGTAGAATGAAAGCCAGCAGAAGCTGATAATAATGTTTGATTATTAAAAAAAAAATAAAAAAAAAAAGAAAGAGTTTAGGAAAAGCTGAAGAGAA